GGTCCACAGTTGCCGCAAGATGTGATGAACATCTATGTAACCAACCTCGTTCAGAGCGAAGAGCTCTGCTTCGAGTCTGGCCACCCATTGAGCACAGGCCTAATTATCAAATATGTGGGCATGTGGGCTGGCCACGTGCACTACAAGCCCAAGGATAGGGGTAATCATGTGCAGGGTATTGTACAGGGCAGTTGGTGCCTATTTCACATCCTCCCCAAGAAAGATGACATGTTTGGTCCGAGCGAGGACTTGGTTGACAATATCAGCCGCGCATAGAAGGTTGACTCCTGGCGACTTGTTATGCATACTGATGAGGTTGCATGCCACAAATGATAAGCCACTCCATGAGCCTTAGATGCAAGCCTTGTCATAGGCCAAAAAGTGGCAATGAGCATGCCAACTGCACAACCGAAAGGCTGGCAGTTGCGCCCCAAAACAAAGCGGCAGCGAGGAGCCAAGACACCGGTTGATGAGGTGGAAGCATGAATGTTGAACTCATCCTCCGGCTCAAGCAACCCCTGGATCTCCATTCGGGCAGACATGGAGCCTGTGCCCACGAGGGTAGGTGGTGTAGAAACACACGTCGGTGGACGTTGAAGTCTAGGGTCAGCCTAGAAACTGCCCTCAATAGGATCCCCAGGGCCAACACTCACCGGGGCGAGGCGAGGGGCACCGGACAGAGGGTCTCGGGGAATGTGGTCGTGCGGTGTGTCGTGAGACACCGAAGAGCCTTCCGCCAGCATTGCTGCCTCCCATATAGTTGCAACATGGTGACTCCAGCCTGTAGCCATTCGGCATAGGTTCGGCCCTCCCCAGGGAAGACTGGCGCCACCAGGCATTCGGGCTAGCCGGGGGGGCCGGAGTAGAACCCTCCAATTGCGACCAGTGACCTCGAAGCTAAGCTGCTATCCACGAGGCACTGTGGTCAGCCCGGCGAGGGCTCTGAAAGGTATAGACTAAGACACAATTATCCGGTGGGGGCAGAGTGTCCACAGGAAGGCGGAGTATGGGTACATGGAAACCCTCTTGGTCTTGGGCCTATGGCCAAATGAGAGGGAGGGGCGAGTTGTGAGGATGAAGCCCAGGCCCCACGCTGAGAGACGGTGGCAAGCGCCATTCTTCCACCAGTTTATAGTGCGAATGGGCAAATGTCCACTAGGGCACGATGAGCATCAGGCTACTCGGTGATGGAAAGAGGGACCGTCCCCTTTAGGTAGATCGAACTGGATTATCATGGCCAGTATTTGCACTTCAAACCAGCGCCGCTAAGCCGCTTCGAAAGGAGTAGCCCACATAGGGCATGAAGTGGGGCGAAGAGCCAACACTTCATATGAAACATATTGAATAATGTCCACCATGCTGAGGTGGTCGCAGATAGACATGGCCAGCAGGAATAGCAGGCGAGGCAGGGGGCCGAACTCTCACATACTGACGGCCTTGAAGAGAGTGTCAGCCATGGTAAACTTTGGCTCCAAACCATTGAACCAGAGCAAAAAGTCGGCTAGCGTAGCCACTGATGCATCACGCGTGGGAGTCTGGCCACTGCTGGTGCACTGCCTACAACCACGAGAAATGTGCTGATCAGTTGTATGATGTCACTGCACGAAGTGCACATGACTCAGTAAGCAAATGCAGATGGGGGATGCCAAGAAGCCGACAAAAGTGCTCTCCACCGGAAAGATGCAAAGGGGGAAAGCACCAGTAGGGTGCCGAGAACATGAGCCCCGAAGAGCAGTGCATTGAGCGCTTGGGCGAGGGGGCAAGTAGCCAACTTTGTTGATATGGGACGCTGGCGGCTGGGGTGAAGAGTAAAGCGCCACTCGGAGGCATCACCCTACTGCTGAGTGACCGCAATGCGGAACGCGAGCGGCAATGGGGTGCGAGGGCCGCGGTGGGCCGACGGGTAGTGTGAGTGCGTGGAGCACGAGAGCCTAGTACACGGGGTGCCATCAGATGCTAGAGCGGAAAGGAGGCATACCTGCCACTTCGCGGCACTGTGAGGTTGGCATCAGTGTGCTCGTCCTCAGTGTCAAGGCGGGCATGGTCCATCCACGAACCACGCTGGATGGCAGCCGCAGGCGGGCGAGAATTGCGGGTGAGGTCCTCCAAAGGACAGAGGCCTGCCGCTTCACGAGGGGGGAGGTGCTCCCAGGCTTGAGCCTCCTCTGGCTACGCGGGCTATGCCGGCTACTCCAGCAGCATTGGTTGTGCGGATGGGCCAGGGTGTGTCCGAGGAGCCCTCGTTGTAGTCAAGCTCTTCGAGCTAGGGATCGAAGTGATCTGCGTGTAGGTCCCATGCCAATAATGACTAGCATGGATGCAGGGCGCACCACCATATCGAGCCTGCGATGAGCAAGAGAGTGAGCCCGAAGGCGAGGGGATGCCAGACGGGCCGCGGGCCGTATGCCACAGTACGTGAGAGGCCACCGGTGGCGCTGGAGCCATGGCCAGAGGTGGCCCGGCCAAATGGGGTAGGAACGGGAACGGGGACAATGTTCGTTCCTGTCCCAGGAACGGACCCGTTCCCGTCCCAAGAATGGACCCGTTCCCGTCCCAGGAACGGACTTGCCCCAGTCCGTCCCAGTCCGTTCCAGTCCATTCCAGTCCATTCCAGATCCGTCCCAAGTCCGTTCCTTGGCCGTTCCTGGGCCTGGCGCCCCAAGGATGGGGACGGACTCTGGTCCGTCCCCATTCCCGTTCCCGTCCCCGTCCCTAGTCCATCCCCGTTCCTAGACGGCCCACCTCTGGCCACAGCGGGTAGCAGGTTGAGCCGCGAGGGGCGTGCTGCCGGGATGAGCGGCGATGACCGCATCGCCAGTAGTGGGCGCAGCGCGTGCCACCCCGGGGGGCGAAGCGCCACCCCGTACACACAGGGCCCGAGTGGGGCGGCGGCCCACCGAGGGCACAGGGGCAGGCGCGATGAGCGCCGTGGCGAAAACCTCGGCGGCCAGAGGATGGGGGGGGACCAGGCGCGAGCAAATCGAGTGGTGCACGTGGGGACAACACGATGCGCCAACGTTGCAGAGCACCGAGGGCGGGGTAGGAGCCACACGGAAATGCTAAGGGATGGTGCGCCGATGTCGGTGAGGGCACGCGCGGGCGGGTGTAATGGGGGGAAGGTTCGAGATGCACGGGGCGCCAAGCTGGCGGGCGGCAACAAAGTTGGGATGCGAAAGAAAATGGACCCTCGCCTGCGCGGCGCGCTCCCCTCGTGGTGCTGCTCACCATCTTCCCGCGCTTGCACCCGCTGCGGCTTGGCGACTGCGGTCATGTTGGGTCTCGACCTGCGGCACTCGGCGCGAAGAGCGATAGCCTCTGGCGCTGTGCTACGCCCCCTATCACACCAATCACGGAATCTGGCGCGTTCGCGCTCATCTTCCATTCTTAATTGTGTTAAGAATGCCGTTCGGTGTGAGCGCGACCCTAACCATAGCATTTGCATCTGAATCAGATCGCATCTCCCACAACAATCAAATTGATGCTCACAGATCTCCCATAATAAGAGAAATAATTCTGTGAATTCTAAAACAATTTTTCCTTTTCTTTGTATAAATTCAGAATGCCTTGCAAATAAATGATGTTCTTGAAGTGCATACAAGTCGCACACCATAATGCATAAGTGATCCACCCATTGAAACGGTGGTCATTATGCGATGTTGCGAGCAGTGGCACAATAGGGCGCATGGTCTTGGGCAATGTGCCGACGCATAGGGCACCATTGGGAGGCATTGATAATTTGCCTCTTTTGAAGGCGAATCAGAAAGAGCTTAGCAAGGATTCACAATGCGGGGTTTTCCTCGAAAGGGCCAAAGGCTGCATTCGTTCCAGCCACAGTTACAGAATAGTGCAGAAAACATAGAAGTGTTCTTCAGAGAGTTTTGTGTCCATATTTCGCAGCCAGCGACCAAGGTGCTCGTGCCTCCAGGCGCAATTCAACCAACTCGTTCGGCTCAACGTGCACGGTTCCCTGCCATTAGGACAATCGATTTAGCATCCCAAATTCCTGAATCTAACTGCGCAACAGATGTGCGACCAATTTATGGGGGGAGGGGGCCCTGACTGCACGTGAGTTGCCACAGCTTCCCCAAAACTAAGCCATGTTGGTGGCCAATCCCATCTACCCCCAAACGAACAGTGGCCACTGTGGTGTCCTGCACAGAGCACATAGGGATCATACCATTTCGGTATTCCCTTTCCAACAGCCAACACCGTCGCCCAACAGCCATCAACATTCATTGCTACACAGGTTCCCACGAATTTGCGCAGCCCGCGCTTCCCTTTCCAACAGCCAATACCGTCGCCCAACAGCCAGCAACATTCATTGCCACAGATTCCCACGAATTTGCGCAACCTGCGCTTCCCTTTATTGTTCTCGTCCCTCTTGTGGCGACTGAACTTCCCATCGAGAAAACAAAAGTGGGCAACAGAGCTGCAACACTGCGCACAGAGTGCAGGCACCCATAATATTTCAAAATGCATAAAGTCAAATTCGGAGATTCAACTTCGCAAACCACTGACTTGCGAATGCTCACCACGTTCGAAACTTCAACTTTCGATTAGCGGATCTCGCCCCTAAGAGGCAAGCCACGTGCTCACTCAAGCGGGAAACCACTGACTTGCGAATGCTCACCACGTTCGAAACTTCAACTTTCGGTTAGCGGATTTCGCCCCTAAGCGGCAAGCCGCGTGCTCACTCAAGCGGGAAACAAAGGGTCTCCCAAGTGAGAACGGAGGCAAAGGGGTTACGGTTAAATGATAACCTCTGATGCTATAAGGCTAAAAGACTAAGCTATTCAAACATGCCTGGCGTCCAATCCCGACATACCAATTGGCAATTGCACGCTGTGCCCTATCCCACTTAATCTCAAACTAACATCCAATTCTCTGACGCTTTACCATTCCCATGAAACAAAATGCTGAGGTGCACCATTCATGGTGGGCTAATCGCTATGCGAGACCAGTTGAGTTCTCTTTTCTGTTATCGTCCCCCTCCCTGCTGCCTAAGGGTCACCTGACCCTCCAGCATTCCGCCACAGGGAGACAGGCCTTGGGACGTCATTCTTTGAAAAATACAAACCACAAGCATTGCACAATGGCTTCCCAGAGTGCCTATCCTTCCTCCAAAACGGCGTGGTCCGCGTGCAACAATTGCTGCACACCTGTGCAGCAAACCACCAGTCAGCATGGTACAAGGGCAGCGAGCCATAGCTGAGTTCCAAATGCAGATGGAATGGCATCCTGACATTGCAAGCTCATATGTACAGCTGCTCAGTGGCAAACGGGAATGAACAAACACATTGGTAATCAGCATTTGCTAATGGTTAAACAATACAGGCTCAATACAGGCAAACAGCAGGCATGGTGGGCTTGTCAAGCTCCTAAGGCAATCAAACTGACTTTGCAGGCAAGCTCAGTGGCAGGGCGCAGGGATCGTTGCAGCAAGGAGCAAGACGTACCCTATCCTCAACCCTCTTCCTCCCCTTCTTTGTAAGGCGCAACTTGATGCAGTGCATCTCTTCTTCAGCCCTGAAGCGCTTCTGCCCGCAGTAATCGAAGCCAGCCACGTGATCATCGTCCTCAGCCTCCTGGACTTCCTTAATGTTTGCTGGTGTGCTCGTATTGAGCACCCACCCAGAGGGCAGAGGCCTGTGTTGCAGGGTGGAGAAGGGTGGGGGAGAGCGGGGTGCAGGCGGTCCAGAGGCAGGCCCAGAGGCCAGACCGTAACCATTGTACAGTCCAGATAGGTAGGCATGCCAACACAGCGCCAGCTGGGGCACAACAGCACCAATTTAGATGCGATTCTTGACAAAGAAGAAGATGATTCACAATCCAACAAGAGAGACAACACTACTCATGCACGATCCAAACGAATCTCCACATTCAGGGGAATAATAAGGCAACGAATGTGCGATTATACAGTTTCAAAGTGCTGAGCCGTACAGTGGATGGCTCCCTTCCAACCAGGCAAGATCTGGTCCCATACTCACTTTGCAGCAGTTTTGGAGCAAGCTTGACAAGTGCTTGTTGACTTATTACTAAGTGTGCACCTCAATATTCCTGCAAGCAATAACTAGGGCTACAAGGGAACCTAAAACGTTTTGGACTCGACGCACAAACCAGGTCCATCGTAATAGGGTCTGCATGCCCCAGTATTGGCCCAAAGTTCATCCTCTAATCTACCCAAACTAGGACACCATCTTGGAGTTGGTGAATATTCGAAAGAAGACACACAAGTCCCAAAAACAAGCTGTTGACAAAAACGTTCGTATGCTCGTTTCCAGCATAGAGAATATCTTGAGGTTCTTCAGTGCATATGAAACATTGCAAGCCTCTGGGCAGATGGCCTCACCAAACCCAGTGCTGGATTAAATTTGAAAACATCCTCAGTGTCAGCAGCGACAGACGGAAGACTTTCTTGGCACCTGTACTGGGTGTGCGAGTGTGGCGCTCGCCTTTGCGACGTCCCATTGCGCAGTATCCAATACAGGAAGCGCGCAAACAAATTTCTGCAAAAGCCTCCGCGCCGGCTGTAGTGTGCCCACCTGCTGCTGCTGCTGCTGCTGCTCCCGCGCCTGCTTCCGCTGCTCCTGCTGCTGCTTGCTCTCCAGCTGCTGGCAGGCGACATAGCAGGCCACCCCGACGCCCTCTCCGTGCGCCTTCAGGTCGCGCTCGGCGTCCGACCGGCCGTCGCCCATCCCGGCCAGGGCGGCGGCCGTCGGCCGCATCGTCCGCAGCCCCGCCTCCACGGCCCTCAGCATCGCGCCGACGCCGCCGTCTTCGCAGTCCGGGCCGCGGACATCCGCACGCCCAGGACGCCTTTCGCCCATCTTCCCGTCCCCGTTTCCTTGCTGGCCCTGTCCAATCGCCATGCGACTGCCCAGCCAGGGGCCGCGGGTTCCCAAAAAGCGCCTCGCGCCATGCCATCCCCCGTGCGCCAGGGCGGGCGCCCGCGCGGCCGCCTCCGGCCATTTACTGCCCAGATCGACGGCGGGCGCCTCGGAGCCCGTGTCCCCGCCGGAGCTGTTGCTGTTGCTGTCCTGGTTGGTGGCCTCCGACGTCGTGGAGTCCTTGTCCCCGGGCTCCGTCTGCATCAGCAGCGTCACGGTCTCGTTGTACTGCGCCAGGCGCTCCGATTCGTCCGACCACCCGGCGGGAACGGCCCCCTTGGCCCCCTGCACGCCGGGCTTGCCCCCCGCCTCGCTGGCCGTGCTGCACAGCCTGATGACAGACGCCGCGAGATCGGGATCATTTTCCGCGCCCGGCGCGCCGCCGATCACAACGGGCACCGCCTCCCCCGTCTCCGTCCTCACGAGCGCTATGCGGATGCCGTCCGCGCCATCCAACCCCGGCACCCGAACTGGGCTACCGCCCACCGATGATGCCGACTCGTGTGTGTTGATCATGGCGACCTCGCCTACGCTGGACTTGACGAGAGGCGAGGCGGGTCCCAGGAGGCCGTCTGCGGACGGCACCGTCGCGCCGGCACCCGCCGCCCCCTTGCCATTGGCGGGGAGCGAGGGGCCAGCGGGCGACAAAACCAGGCAGGGCACTGCGATCGCGACTCCCGAACTGCCGTCCATCAGCCTGCGAGCGCAGCGGGATGCACAGCGTCAGCGGGGGGAGGGGGGCCGAAAGGGTGCCCGAGGAGAGTCGAGCCCACTGCGTCACCCCTCGGCTGCGCGGCACGCGCGAGGTAGTGTGACATGCGTTCGTTTGGGTCACCGCTTCGTTCAGCATGGGCAGGGAGCCGGTCGCGGCGATCGATTCGGCGCGCGTCCGGCGCACCGCGCGGCCGCCGCGCTTCCGGCCCCCTGCCGGCGATCTCCGCGCTGTGGTGCGCCCCACGGGCCCGCGCCGCGTGCGTGGCTTGGGGTCCCCGGGCCATCAGTGTGATGGGCCGTGGGCTCCACGGCGGCAGAAAAAAAGCTGGCGCCCGACCGGGCTCGGCACGCCCAGGTGGCGTCCTTGTTGATGGGCAGGTGCCTTCCGCGCCGACAGGCGCCCTGCGAGGCAACCCGGGCGGCATTGGGCCCAACGTGTCCCAAGGCTCGAGTTCGAAAAATGCCAAGGGAGGGGGCCGAGAGAGGGCGTGGCTCCCCGAGGCGCCTGGAAAGGTGGTCCAGACGTTCGGGCCCTCGCTCGCACCCCATCAGAGCCGAAAAGGTGAGGATGAAAGCGGCCAGGCCGATGGGGGCAACAAATCCTGCCCAAGGACGATGTGCCTAGTTTTAACCGGCTGGGCAAGCATCCGCCGGTGACGGGCGCCCTCCAGCGCGGGACTAGGTCACAGCAGCCGGTGGGGGCACGGTCGCGGCAATCGGCTCCGCAACGGGAATGCTCACCGGAACGGGCAACTGGAAGCGACTATGGCAGACGGCGGCATGCGCGACTGGGCGCCAGGATCTGATCGGCCGTCAATAAGGGACGGCGAGCCGAGAGGGCGCCAGCACCGGACGCCGCACCCGCGCGATGATCGGCCCCCGAACCCAACAACGGGCGCACTGGGGGGGGAAGCAACCCCCAGTGGCCTGGAAAATTGAAAACGGACCCTATCAAACATGGGCATTCTCGGATCAGAACCATCGCACGGGCGTCAAGGCCGGGCGGGCGGTGCCGCCCCGCCGGAGCGCCACCCGAGCGAGGCGCGCGCGGGGACACGCCGCGCCTTAGGTCATGATCACCGTCTGCCGCCCGTTACTGGCCCCTTTTCACAATCTCGCAATATCGTACAACAGTCGGCGCGCGGGGCGCCACGGCTGCGATCCCCGCCCCCTACACCGCCCCCCCACTCACACACCGCGTCGCCGGACATCGCCGCACCTTGTGCCGGAGGGCCGGTCCAGCACCCGCACGCCCGCGCACGGCCAAGTTCCCCCCCCGCAGGCAGGCGTCCCTCACTCGCTATTCACGCCGATCGCGCAGCATTCAAGAACATGGCCTGATTGGCCGTGCGCCCTGATGGCTGACGCAAGCCGCTGATCCGCGGTAGGGCCATCCCATCAGCCCCCACCCAAGCCGACCAGGATCTATCCCAGCCCGATTGACAACCCCACAGTACACGGGCCCCCCCTGCCAGAAACTAACACGGGCCACCCCGGTGAGACGTGGCCCCAGGCGTGATGAGATCTCACAGAACGGGCGAGATTGCCCCCTGCGGGGACGGCGACTGGCCGCATGTCCAACGGCGACTCCCCCCGCTGTCAGGGAACACGCCCATGAGCGGGGTTACTCAAGGCCTATCCGCAGAGATGCGGCGGTCGTGGCTGGCCGCCAGCCGGACGTCGAGAGCCTGACTCAGCGACGGGGCCGAGAGCACGGGGGGGATCGGGGCGAGACGGGGACCATATGGATCCCCGCATGCCTCGGGTGCCGCAACCTTGGTGGGGGACGGGGGCTGTAAGGGGATTCGCCCCGTGCGCAGATCTTGGGCTCGATCACGGACTTCAAACGCCGCGGCAAGCGTGTTGGGAGGGGCGGCAGCGGCCTGTGATTCCGCCAGGGCCCAAAATTTGGGCCGCCGGTGCGTCCGGCTGTTGCAAGGCGATCGTGGGGCTTTCCACACGGCGGCAAAGGAACAATGTACGGTTGCATGATTCCGTGGTCGGACCCGTGACTGATCGGACGCGTTGAGCCCCGCTCGACGCTCGTCGTTTTGCGCTGGGTCAGTGACAATTTGGCAAACGACATTCTGGCAAAAGAATCGTAGCTGTGTCGGGGGGGCGAAAGTGCGACCACCATTTGTCACAGCCCCACAAGCGCGTGTGTGGCATCTACCGACGTACCTCTGCCGTGTCAGACGGATGCAGTCCAGGCGATCCTGCTGCAGAGCCGTAAAGGCCAGACCAGCCAAGTCCTCAGGCTGATGGGCAATCCAATGCGGTCCCAATGTGTGGGAGAAACCGCGGTCGCCTCCTTACCCGCAGGCGAAACGGGAAATGGCAAGGGAAACGGGGATGGAGTCGCAGTTAGAAGCAGAAACACTCAAGTCAATGTTCAAAGTGGTGGGCCCATAGTTCGCCACCTTACACAGAAGGTTTGTCTTATATACAACACTACTCCCAGGTGCCGCGTCCCTTTGGTGGCATAACTCCCGGAAGCAATACGAAAGAACCTTCTATGTCCTAGCGTACCAATCCCTGACAACCAATCCGCACCACAATCCCTAGTTGAGCCCTTCGCATGATACTCCCGACCCCCTGGCGCACCAAGATGACAACTCCCGGATCGACGTGATTACTCCCAGATGTCCTATGGATGCTCCGCCGCCCACACATTCTCGTTTGAGCAAGGCGTAGATACTCCCGATCCGCGTGATGCTGTGTCCAGAACTCCCAGCTCCAAATCCAGCGCATAATACGTCCCGACACATCAATCCAAAGGGGCCCAATGTTAAGATTCCTTCCCAGCCTTGATGATCCGCGCCCCGCCTTCATGATCCAATCCCGGCCTTGACGATCCAATCCCGGCCTTGCGGTTCCTACTCCCGGCCTTGAGGTTCCTACTCGGGAGTAACGTGGGAGTCCCGGGAGTCGTCTCCAATGGCATGGCCACAGGGTGCTAGAGTTGAGAAGGGGTCTTGTTGGGGTCAGGGAGCCACCCAACAGTTCAAGGGCTCCAAGGGACGTGGGTTGGAAGGTCATCAGCAATGGTCGCCTAGTTTGAGGGTCAACGAGACAAGGGAGTCAGTTCTTCAATCATTATTCCATACTCAAAACAGTCGAATATCCATTCACCACATCCTAACAGAGTCAATCAATCACGTTCCCATAGATCGTACAAGCTTATAATCAAAAATAAGCGAAACATCAGGGGTACTTTAAAATTCGCCACACGTGCGTGTGGTCGCCGGCACTGAAACCAATTGTGAACTTGTGGCTGGGCCAAGGTGGCGCCAAGGGTGGGGCGGGGTGGGGTAGACATGATCCATCCGAATGACGGGATGGATGAGACTCACTACAGGACGCATGATGCGCTTCGCAACCATGGGGGGTGTTGCGCGGCAGCGCGCAACAGGGGGTGAGAGAAGCCTGCCAGTACGGGCGCTCGAAGGCCATTAAGCCGGGACCCAGCACCGGACCCCAAGTACTACGTACTTGGGGCCACACCCGAGCGCCGGTACCTGGGGGTACCCCAGATACTGGTGGCCACCGCCCTAGTTCCTGTATAGCAACTCTAACCCTACACTATCATAACCGTAGCCCTCTTGGACTGGTTATCGTAGGGGGTTGTCGATACCCCCGGTACCGGTTAGTGCGGTATAGGGGGCTTGTCCAACCCATGCGTGTGAGCGAGGCCTGTTGGTGTGCCCACTGCTATGTAGCGTCACAGAGTTGACTCTAACCGCAGGGTCATGCCCCAGAATTATTCTACAGCACGCAGTCCTGAATTCGAGCAAGGGATGTGCCAGGGCCACCAAAACAAGACAATTGGCGAAAGTTCCAGTGGCAAACCAAGGATTTGCCTGACGCCAACCGAAGTCTCACCATCCAACAATCGGCAAAATATTTGTTGATCTACGATCCCATTTGCATCAGTATGCTATGCCAGATTCAGCCTCTATGCAAACGTCGGCTTCCCCAACAACCGAACAAACTGAATACCGTGCAAGGTGTGGCAGCCACAAGAATCCACTGCTGAAAATGTGGAAAAATATGTTTGCGGTGGATGACGACTTGAGAAGAATCTTGCCGCCGTCCCTTTCGTTTAAATTGTGAGGTGCGGGAATCATTTTGGGTCAGGCTCTGTGATGCACCGAGAGGTTGAAGGTTGTGGGCCTCTCGCGCTGCGAGTCCAAAAAATGTCGTGCTGGAATTTTATCCTGTTTGCAGAGACAGCCTTTGCCATTTGCACCCTGTATTCAGCTTGAGAAGCATTGGCCGATGTACTGCAACAGAACGAAGCTGAAGGGTCTCTTGCACGGCTCTAGTCTGCGTCGATGATGTCAGGGAAAGCTGATGTCGATCAATGGATCATTAGCAATGAGCCCTCTGGCAACAGTTACTCAGTGTATGATTCGAGGCAGGGGTTTGTTTGTTTCTTCCTTACATGGATGCATTGACATGATGTCACGGCATCGAGGCAGGGGTGTTCGTTTGTAATCAGCTGGTTCGGTGCCCTGGCAAGTGCGCACCTTGAATATACGACCTGATGTATAGCAGGCCGCATCTTCAAGGTGCACACTCGCCAGACAACATGATTCGAGGCAGGGGTGTTCGTTTGTAATCAGCTGGTTCGGTGCCCTGGCAAGTGCGCACCTTGAATATACGACCTGATGTATAGCAGGCCTCATCTTCAAGGTGCACACTCGCCAGACAACATGTTGTTGGGAGCAACGGCTGCTCGAAAAGATTCTCTTCGCGGAGAGACCCCCTTCCGCGAGCCTCGCTGTCTAGGGTTGCAGGGCAGCATTAACAGCTCAGAGCAGCAATGTGGCTGCATGCTGATGGGCACACTGGGCGCCAGTGCATGAGGGGTTGTGCGCTCATCGGGTCCAATACACTCGCGAAGCCTTGGCTAAGATCCGGATGGTTGGCGCGAGAAGACAGTGGTATGCCCCCGCCTGATCTGTGCCAGAGACCAGTCAAGGTGATGGCGCTCGTCGTGCATTGCTAGAAAGCCTGTCAGCGACACGGGGCATGCTGCTGTACAGGCACCGCGAAAAACCTCCAACACCCCCCAAGGGACGAACCAGTCGCCGCCCCCTGACTTGGCGGGGCCACAAATATGGGTAGGTACCCTGCATGCACCGGGCCGGTAGTGACGGCGCGAGCGATGCGTTCCTATGTTGCACTAGTGTTGGAGAGTTCAGAGGAAGCTTCCCAACTGCCCCGTTTTCTAATGGCACGATGGCTTGACTGATGTACACACGCCGACTGCGGTGCGGCTCACAGCGCTTGCACCCATTCACCGGCCAATTGATGGGGATCTCGACACGAGCTGATAGTTTCTAATCTGTTCTGTATTGCCGCCGTACAGTTCTTGACCACGGTACGTGACGTATTGGGTACAAGGCCAGCCACCGCAAATCTTGGTAAACAGAATGGGCCTCTCCCGTACTCGAGTGCGCGTTTGTGACACCAGGCACCTGCAGCCCGCCCTACATTGCAGCACGTTGGAATTGTTGGTTGAGTTACAGCTTCGCTAATGGCAGTGAGTGGGTGGCTCACTGCCAGTCCCTCTGGTATGTGACAGAATCATGCAAGCGTGCCCACAAATAAAACGCTGACGTGGACGAGAGATTCCCTACATTCTGACGGATACCCCCAGAGCACATGTTTGTTGCTCTGACACACTACAGCCTTTGGTTTCACTCTTGTATCTCCTATAACGTTGTCAAGATGAGAAAGGCCAATCGCAGTCCAGTCAGGGAGAGGAATGCCAGCAACCTCATCATCACACACGAAACGTACCATAACAAACTCACGTTTCCTCGACCAAAAAAATCACACCATTCCGCCAAGCATCAGCCCTCAGTTTACTTCCCAACTTGGGAGGTTTCTGCATGATGCAATCACTGGCTGGTGGTTGATGCGTGGAGCGCACATCTGACACGCATGCGGCAGCAACAGTCAGCAGGCCTCCCTCAGTGGGGTGGGGGACACATGTGGGGCAACATATCAGTGCCAGAGCATGCAAGCCTGTGAAAGTGGTATGCAGCCTTTTGCTTATTCCTGCTTCCTCCTGCTGGTGCAACAGGGCACACACACATCCAAACTGATGACATGTCTTGATGTGAAAGCCTATTACCTTTGTCACTATAAATTTGGCCGATTTGGTGCTGCGTGACTCACAGCCCAAATACAAGAGGCATTCCAAGCTTGGCATGCCTACCCATCCCTCCACTACGAGCGCTGCTACTCCACCCCCAACACACATGCAGCAGCTGTGCCATGCACGCCCTGCAGAGTCGTCTTGGCTTTCCTTTTCCAAGAACCATTGCCTACTGTAATCGCCTGGAAGGGTTGCAAAGTGTCGAGCATGGACACCAGCAGCCAAGGGACCAAGGCCACCAGACAAACCCTGCAGTCAGACCCCACCTGCAGCGCCTTACCCAATTCCCCACAGTCAGCCACCACTGGCACAGCCGCCTCGCCAGCAGCTCAGCTCTAAGGAACTCCTGAACTAATGCACCAAACCAGCACAGGCCAACTCTGACCAATATACACAACCCAACTCCAGCTCACTCGTTGCTCTCCACATACTCTGGGTTCCTTTTCAAAATCACCAAGCCCTCCAGGATGGGCGACAGGGGTATGTACTTTTCAGTGGCTAACTCAGCCCGCTCGCCCACGGCCAACAGTACTGGCGTTGTGTGTGTCTGGAAGCCTGTGATCGTCTTGGGTCTGCCAGCCTGTGCAACAACATCGACAGCAGTGCCCACCCGCGCTGGCACAGGCAGCATCTTGCCAGCCTCGTCCAGGGTCATCAGGTACCTGGGCTTCATGGCCGTGACCAAGTAGTACAGGATGTAGTGGTGCTTGCCTGTGAGGGTCTCCTTGATGTCGAAGCATGCGTACAGGACACACAGCAGCCCAGCGAGGGACACACCTACAGATGTGGCACAACACACATTGGTGATGTCTTTGCGGCCATTTTGTGCCTCTGGGACTCCACAGGGATCTACAATTGATGGAAGACCACAACGTTGTCCATTCGTCCTTTGACCATGCTATTAGGTCCTACAACAAAAAAAGTGGATCGCAGGTGCCACGAAAAGACAAACAGAATGTTGTTCACCTTGACTGGAAGTGCTGCTAAGTGAGCCAGTGAAATCCATGTGCTGAAGCAACCAGCAAGTTGCAATTGCAAAGCCCACCAGCATTGAGCATTCTGAAACAAGCACTCAAAGAAGGCGCCCTATGCACTGCATGCTACAGGATTGCTTGTTGCATCAACTCCCTGGCTACAGAGATATGACTGGAGACTTTCCACTGCACTCTTTGCAGACTCTAGAGACCTTTCCCTTGAGGATGATGGGTTTGTTTTGCCGTGATGTTTTGGACCTTGCACTCACAATCTGTTGGCCCTGATCTTGTCCTCCTGTCAGCAAGGACTGCATGCAGGCGGATGGCACTGTACCGACTACGACCACCGTATGGCTGTTTCATTCACACGGCCGACTCTGCGCATCGCACAATTCTATGCTGGTTTGAACGATGGGCTACTTTAGAGGCATATTCAGAGGTGTATGATGAGGCATTGGCTTGATGACACTGGAGTATCCTTGAGCGTATAACCCATTCACAGGAGAGGTCGGCCCCAGTCTTGAACGATTGCAGCACTGACCATGCAAGTCTCAAGCACAGCTGTGACTTGTTGTCCCCTTCAGCTCTGAGCCAACATGAAATAAATAACAAGCACTTCAACGACCAGATCAGGCCAATTCGCACACCTGCCTGCAACCATGCAGCAACCACTCAACAAAAGCTCCTTCTCGTACCTGAGAGCAGCTGCCTGTCTGTATGATAGGGGCTGACTGAAATGAGACCCTTGCCCATGTACACGAGCCCCTGCGCGACCCGGACCAGGAACAACATCTTTTGGTCCTTGTAGTAGTACGATGACAGATTCCTGAGTATCCCTGCCAGGCGAGCATTGTTCGTCCCAGCACCGATGATCCCAAGGGCCACGATGGCGCACTTGGCCACCTCCCCATCCGAGTCATGGCTCAACCGGCTGAGGATATCTGTGGGGTAGATGTCGGGGTTGGACACATTGAGCATGGCGATCGCCAGGGGGACGGCAGACCGCACAGAAGGCTCAGCATACTGCAGCAGGTGTTCTAGCGCCCTGTGGGCCATTCGTCCACCAAGGTCCTCTGCCATGGCAAGCAGGGCCACGCCCAGGACTGCAGGCCCCTGGTGGGCAACCTGCAGACACCCAGAAATCAAAACCTCCTTTGTCACACAAGTTCACACGACACCCACAGCACCCAGAATCGCAACCTCTGTCGTGCGACCCACAATCTGTTGACAAGTTCAAAGCGCCACAAACAGCAAAGCCAGGGGACACCCAGGCTGCTGCGATTCCATTCAGACTGCCCTGTGCCGATTTAGGTTCAGGTGAATTGGTGGCCCCATGCAAACGTTTCTTGCTACTGTGAACTTAAGAAAACAGGGCAGCCTGAAACTGTTCTGCCCAAAAGACAGTATGCTGCGGTGTGCTTTCATTTGTTGGGGATTGTGTGCAACACAAGGAAACGGGCACCTCATTAGCTGCTTGTGCCTGCTCGCTGTTGTGTGCTTCCCTGGCCGTTATCAGCCTTCATTGTGATCTTCACAGTGTGGAACAGGGTCGCAATTTCAACCGGGAGCAGTCAAATGTATGGCATGAGCTACTTCTTTGCCAAAACATATCGACTCTGCTCTCTGAAGTGTGCAACATATTTGGGCACCTGGTATTCCGATTACACCTTGACTATGGTTGTTGAAGATGCGACCAATATTGAGCACTGCACCAACAGGGGATCATGGTGGTGATTGCCATGAAGTGTGCAGATAACAAAGGTGAATTCAACATTCTCAAACATGGAGTACAGATGGAATCACACCCATCATAACCTTGTGGTGGAAGGGAAGCAAGTTGACAAATTTCAGTGAATGCAATCAAACGACTGGTTGAGCAGGCGACATCAAGTTCTTTGCCATTCCAAAGGACTGAGCAAGGGTTGAGCCTACCTTCCAGCCAGAGTTTGAGGTCGTCTCAATGTGCTCGCCACAAAGTGCAAGAAGCTCTTGCACCTTGAGAACATTTCCTGTCCCGGCATATGCCATAGTGTCAAGCACCACCTGGCAGTACTTGGAAATTACTTCATTAAGGGTCTTGGCAATCTGTGCACAGGGCACCCACAAACATGCAGTCAATGACACTAGGGAATAATCTGTCAATGATTCCCAATGCACCTGGGACTTCAGCAGTCAAACAAATGCACCCTTGCAACGGAATCTAGATGTGTAACAGGTGCTTGACATTTGCATGAGCAGGCTTGACTCTGTTGCAGACATTTGTTGGGGTTGGATTGCTCTTGTATTGCCTCTCTCAAGCCCTACAACCCCATTGTTGATGTGGCTTTCATAGTGGGGCTCAAGGGATTCTGCTGCAAGGCGCTTCGAAGCACCGATGGCGTCAGCTGCATCGTCCATCAAACTCTTGCGTGATATGTAAACTAATCCTCTCTTGTTGCAGATGACACAATACCACATCTTTGCCATGAATCGCACATAGTTCTCTATCCACATGGCGTGCGTTGCTCAACATGGAATCCTACTCTGCTCTTGGCTGCATTGATTGTGTATTTTACTGTGCTACTTTGATTATGGTGCCCATTCACTTCCGTCTTTTTCATCCCCAGACCGCTGATCGTACACACTCCCAGGAAGTTGGGTGCAGAGGAGGGCACTCAACAGAGAAAACAAACGAATGTTTTCACCCATCAGCACTGAGTCACATGGGGCCCGGCTTGTCTTGTGCAATCAAATGAAAGCTAAGCCTCAATTTACCAAGGCGATGTTGCTTGCCACTTGCCAAAGTTTGCCACTTGCAAAAGTGCAGTACTGCACAAAAAACAATGGCAGCATAGGACAAAACTCCTCTACAGGCCAATGCTTACAACATTGCCAACTACGGCAATGTGGTTGTAACCTTGCCACGTCCAAATGTGTCCGCATTCTCTTCCACTGGGAAAGACTAAATTACGAACTAGCCAACAGCTCTTTCTGAGCGTAAGGTTTCCTCAGTGATAGCCCAAAAGCTTGGCACAGGTATAAGCAATCAAGGCTGGCAACAAGGACCACTGCAAGTTGATTGTCACCAGCAGGCCAATTAATAAACTGCTAGTGACTGGACAAGATGCAGGTCTACATCAGGGCCGATGCTTGACAAGGTGCAGGGCACAGGTGGGCTGATCAACAATCATCAACGATGCAAAAGCAACTGCACGCCTCGATTCTGTGTGCTTTAACTGAATCAAGTCTGGTACAGTGTTGTAACCTCCACATTCACCAAAAAATGACACAGGGGAATGCACTTCCTGCCATTTGACAGGAGGGTCTTACTTCACCATTTTGTACTGTTCATTTTGTGAGGTGCAACACAGCCACATGGGCAGACAAAGCTGAAACCCTGCATCTGAGTTGCCCTGCTTTGTCAATAATTAGGCTGCAGAACGAACAGAATGAGAAGACAAGTTCAGGAAGGCAATCTTCATCTGTACATCTGTGGATATCCATTATCTAGTACATATTCACATCTGTTCATTGCCCACACACAACTACCTTGTATCTTTCACACAAAAGAGGTCAAGTTCGCACACCTCCAGGGTTGCCTCCACCACCTCTTGCTTCCTCAAGAACAGGAAGCCCAGGCCAAGGCACAGCATCTTGGCAAAGGGGGTGGACAGCTGTTGGGCTGGGCGCGTCATGAGCGCCTGGAGGATGGCCTCGATGCACTCCTGATGGCAGGTGCTTGTGAAGACAAGGCCCAGCGAAACGGCAGCAAAACCCGCCAACTCTATGCTGATGTTGGGGTCCATCACCAGGGGCACCAGCAGTTCCTCGATCTCTTCCTTGCAGGTGCCAGCATATGCCAGCCCAAGGCCCATTATTGCGCCGATCTGCACTGTGGGTTCGTCATGGTTTACATCCTCAAAGATGAGCGCATAGGCTGGGTCATGCTCATTGTGGACCCCGCAGTTAACCATGCCTATGGCCAGAAGGGCCCCGGCCTTGACATGGTGGTCTGTGGTGTACAGGTACCTGCCCCACAACCAGGAGGTAAATGCAAGGAACAGAGGCAGAGAGAGAGAGTCATTGACAACACATGGAATGTCCCACGGCATCTTGCGGATAGACAGCAACATGTGATCCATTTGGAAGAATTAGCAGAACAAAAGAGTTTCAACATTCAGGTACCTGTCAAGGTGTGTCAAGCCTCCCTCAACATCCCACATCATAATCATGCCAAGACTGGCTGCTGCACTTGTCTTGCCATGGTCCTTGTTCTTGAATATCCATTGTACCTGAACAGCAAACAACAGCATGCACAAGTGCGCTGGTCAGGCTCCTCAGCCATGTCAGAGTACCCTTGACCACAGTTGCACAGGTACGAGGAAATTTGGCCCACCTCTGCCTCACCCCTAACACACAGAATATGGTTTTAACTGGGCAGACTAATTTTATCCAATCTGCTCTCAAGTTCAAGAACACCATGTTATCCAACCTATTCTTGTGCAAACCCTTTTTGCACTTGCTTGGGATTGAACAGGGGAAATGAGAGATCCATGCTGAAAGGCATGATGCCACACAGCAACAGTTCTTGAATATTTCATCCAAGTTTCCTTGATGTGTGGCCAGTGAAAGAGGCTGAAATGGAACTCTGATAACTCTTGGAAATGTCTTCAACCATAGGCCTTGGGGAGTGCTCCCTTTAGACAACTTGAATTGACCAAATGCCAAGGCCTGCAGTATAGCACTTTCAAATTCCAGGAAATCCACAGATCTCAAGCTGTCTGCAGGGCCTTTCCAGCCCAAGAAAGCCATGAGCAACGAGTCAATGCACCCACAACCATCTCAACACTGCGCCCTGTGCCTGCACCTGATTGCCGTCGCCATCTGCTGGGGCAGTTATGAGCTTGTCCTGGCCGAATCCGGCATTCACAAAAGCGTTCACAAACGTGCTAGCAAGGTTCTGGTAGGCAGAGTCCATGGCACGGCCCGAGGGCGCCCTGCCATCCACCAAGTGCATCTTGTACACATCCTCAGGGACCTTGGGCTCCATCACGTCCAGGTCCCGCGCCAGCTCCAGAAAGTGCTCGCTCAACCGGGCGTTGCTCACGATGTCCTGCATGGCTGGCAGCTCCTCCTCTGAGACTATGGTGATCCCGTTCTCAAGATCCATGACGACGCCTTGCCTAACAAAAATGCAAAGCTTCAAGCAGCGTGTCTTGCAACAGCATGCGAAGGTGGGCATTGCTGAGGACACAATACAGGCGATGCGCAACGAATGGCAACTTTCAATATCCATGGGGATACCTTGTTTTGCGGAAACACAGCCCCCAAAGGGTGTGGTCTCACAGCCCGTTGACGTGGCTGCCGCATGGAACACGGTCCAGAAGGTCAGCAACAATTCCCCAGCAATCCACAACTGCACGTCAATGGAATTGTTGCCACCATGGCTAGCAGTGTTGCAAATCAATGTTTGAAGCGTGCACACAAATGGACGGAGGAGGGGGCCGTGGAGAGGGGGTGCAGGCAGGCATGTTGGTGTGTGGGGCCGTTGCAGGCAGGAGCGGTGGGGAAGATCGGGCGGCGCGGTGGCACACCTTGCGAGCAGGTATCCTAGCTGCTTCTTCTCGAGCGGGTCCTTGCAGGCCGCGAAGGTGCTGTCGATCAGCTCCTTCTCGTTGATCCACAGCGCCACCCTCAGCGCGTCGTGATGCAGCCCCATCTTCAGGTAGATGGCATGCGCCGTCCTCAGCACCGCCATGTCGTCCGGCTCCGGCAGGTAGGAGCTGCAGCTGGTGAGGTAAAGGCACGTGCGCCGGCAGTTGCCCGCGTCCACGTACTGGCTCAGCAGCTCCAGCCTGTCCACCTCGATCAGCAGGTCCACCGCCTCGGGCTCGGCGTTGTGGGTCATGTGGTAGGGCACGATCTGCCCAGCGAGGCCCAGCAAATCATCCACCGGCTTGCCCTCCGCCTGGCGCTCGTGGTGCTCGGACGATATCTCCCCCGCCAAGTTGCGCACGTACTCGTGCCCCCAGTCCCCGATCTCCCCCGGGGATCCCAGCAGCCGGTACTTGAGCGTCTCGCGGTCGCCGGGCGCCGCGCAGGTGGACGCCATGATGGAGATCACGTCCGCCAGCGACCGCCCGTTGTCGCCCGCCGGCATCGCCTCCAGGGCGGCCTTCAGGGACGCGTAGTGCGGGCGCAGGAACTTCAACGGCTTGGGCACGGACGTCATCGACGTCGTGGCCGACTTGATCTCGCGCCGGATGGTCTCGAGGGCCAGCCGCGCGACGCCCGGATCTGGGTCCCTCACCCTCTCCACCATCAGTTCCAGGTTGCGCTTCAGCTCGAGATCTTCATCGGACAAGTCCGCGTCCTTGTCCTCCTCCGGGACGGCCTTCTTGCCGGCCGCCGGGGCCGCCTTCTCCCCCGCTTTGCCGCCCGCGCCTTCCGCCT